GAAGCTTGGGGAGGGGGATTTAACCCAGTTATAAGACAGAAAATAAGTCAGAGTCCTATTGCCAGATTAAATATGTATTTAATTAATCAGGTCTGTTTCCCACATATGAAAAGGAAAAATACTTGGTAAGGGATATAAACAATTTGGAACTAGGAGAGGTTTGTTTTAGTTTTAGCTCTGCAACAGGTGACTTCGCGGAAAGATGTCTTTAATATTCCTGTACTTCATTGTCTACACCTGTTCACTAGAAACAAAATCCCCACCCTTGGTAGCTCACTGTCTTGATTGAAGATTAAATTAGAGAACACACGTGAAAATTCCTTGTAAACCACATTTTAAAATTATTAAGAAACATTTGCTACTGTGTTATTCATAGGTTACATACATAACAGGTTCCCAGTTTAAATATCACTTCCCAGCTATGGATAAAGGCACTCTTATGCTAAACCTTGATATGTAATTACATAAATTTATTCAAGCATGAAATTACTTTGTTAATACATAAAATAACAGATTTTTTTATATGTGTTCTTGCAAATGAATGCATTTGTGTAAATAGTGTACTTCATAGGGTACTTATTTTATTTTGTTCTTTATACTTTTCCTAATAAAATAATATTTGCAGACATAATTCTCTTTATTACTTGTAAACAATAAAATTCATCTAATTTCACACCCGTGGTCAGGGCAGTAAAAATGAAACAGGACTCCATTAATGCAGAACATAAATAAAAAAATGTAAATGTTTCTATGGGTTGAATAGTTATTTTTCTTTTATTTAAATTTCTAATACCAAACCATTAATCTGAAAAAAAAGAGATATTAGAATTGTGTTCTTTTTAACCTGGCATATTCTTTGGGATCTATCTCCAAGGTATTATAAACATAAGGGTCAATGTCATAAAGAGACTAATCATTTCACAAGTCAAGAATAAGTTTTGAAAATTAGGAAATAATATACCATAAAAAACCAATATGAAAACAAAATTTTAAAAATTTTAGGATACCAATAGTTACTAAATCTTATTCAAACTTATTAATTAATTAATTATCATATAACATGAATTAAATGATTACATAGGCACATATATATTTATAAAGCACTACTATGAAATAAATTTAGGTAAAATCTTAATATAAGGCAATTTGGAAATATTAAAAGGAGTCTTACATTTCTATAACCATTGAATCGATATTTACACATCTGAGAATTTATCCTGAGAAAATAACCAGAAATATGCCCAAATAGAATATCTGCTTTTTAATTTTTATTTAATTTATTTTTTTAAAATATATTTTATTGATTTTTTACAGAGAGGAAGGGAGAGGGATAGAGAGTCAGAAACATCGATGAGAGAGAAACATCAATCAGATGCCTCTTGCACGCCCCCCACTGGGGATGTGCCCGCAATCAAGGTACATGTCCTTGACTAAAATTGAACCTGGAATCCCTCAGTCTGTAGGCCGACGCTCCATCCACTGAGCCAAACCAGCCAGGGCAAGATCTGCTTTTTTGTATATTTACAAATGGAACCTCATTTTAAAAAATAAATTTACTGAAAAAAAAATGAATAAATACATGAGAATGTTAATGGTTATTTATACACTATTTAATAGATATTTCCCTTCATCATTTCTGAATGATAAGATTGTATACATTTTATAAGCAAATTTTTTTATATAATTTTATAAATCATTTAAAAGTAATAATTTACAAAGCAAGAACAAAAGTACACAGCACAGTGGGGATTCTATGTGGCATCTTTATGAATTTGTACTTGCACAGCAGTATCGTCTGGAATATTAAGAGATGGGTGTAAACTCAGTATATGCCTGAAATTCATTAAGTACTCAGTACATGGCTGTGGCTGCTTGTTCTGTGGTGGTGATGATGTTCCTGGTGGTAATAATAGAATCAATGGCAGTGGGACAGGAACAATGGAGTCAAACAAAAATGTGCTAGTAGGAGTAGCAAAAGGAGCAGTCATAACAGAATATATAAATATAATTAAGGTTTCTAGTAGTTCACAGTAGAAAGTTAAACCAGAAAAGTAGTAGCCTGGTGATTGTTTAGTGTGAAATGAGATACACCATAAGAAAGCAAATCTGAGATGCCACGTAATAGTTTTGTGGCCTTGAACAATCTATTTGATATTGATCTCCGTTTCCTCATCTATAAGGCAGGATGCATACTCTGATACTTACCTGGACAGTTTGGTATTCTCATGTAAGAATGAAGTATTATACAGTGTGTCACAAATATTCAAAAACCACCAGACACTCGGTACAAGGAAATAGATTTTCTTCCTCTGTTTCCTTAGAATATTGTATAAATAATTTCACTCTTTTGAAACAAAATATTATTTCTATAATAAAATGCTCATATAGATTTTAAAATCACTATGTACCAATCTAAATATAGAACTTGACATTTTTAAGCACAGTGACATCACATCCTGTACCCTTTTCCACATTATGGTTTCATTTTGAGTATGTTTTTCTCTTAGATCAATGACAATATCCTCCAAGAAAGAGACTGGGAGTAACATGTTTATTACTCCTGGCACGTGACACAGTACCTGGAAAATAGGTGTTTATTACTTCTTAATTGAGCTTAAGAAGAGTAACAGGCTGTGATTAATACAGACTAGAAGCCCGGTGCACAAAACTTTGTGCACTGGCGGGGTGGCGGGGGCTGTCTCTCAGCCCAAATTCTGCACTGGGACGGGCGGCAGCTCGGGATCAAGCTGCCTCCCGCCCTGGGCCTCACATGGTAGTGGCTCCGGATCTCACTGCCGCCTGCCCCGCCCGCCCCAGGCCACACATGGCAGGCCCGGATCCCGCCCTGGGGTGGGCGGCGGTTGGGGATCTCACTGCTGCCTTGCAGTGCAGCAGGATCTGCCTGCAGTATGCAAATTTAATGGCCATCTTTGTTTGGTTAATTTGCATACTCTTCTGATTGGCTGATGAGTGTAGCGAAGGTACAGTCAATTAGCATCTTTGTCTTTTATTAGTGTAGCAGTTGAGCTGAGTAATGGGGGCAGCTTAAAGCTAGTGTTTTAAAAGGGACATTCATGACCAGGAATTCCTACAAAATGACCAGAAGACTAAATTTCCAGGAAATAAATAATGGAAAGCTATGAAACTGTAGGAAATATTGTCAGTGAAAAAAAGTGTTCTGGTTACATGAAAATTAGATATGAAGTATCCATGGTTTTGCCTTTAAGAGCAATTAATTATGTGTCTATAACTGTAGGTCGACGTGGGGTTAGATTATAGGCTCCCAAAGTCTTAGGAAGTGCTCTGTGGGCACTGGTTTATGAGTAGATGAGGCAGTCCTGGACAGGATGGCAGTAGCATCCTGAAAGGACAAATGCTCAATTCCAAGGCCACGGAGGGACACCACACTCAATGTCAAAACTGTTGAGTGAAGTCATTGCTTCAGAAAGCAGGAGAGCTCTGCAATGGTGAAATCCGAGAGCTACTGCTCCCTTGCTACACAGGGTCTGTATCTTCCAAGGGAATTGCAGTTTCCTTGGTCTCAGGGGATCATGAGGGGCAGTTTACTGCCATTACCAAGGTTGAGGAATCTCATTACTGACTCAGAGGGAAAGGCGGGGTTTCACAACAGGTGACTGAAAACAAAGTCATGCCAAGGTTATGGATGAAAGATGAGATCGTGGTAATTCAGGCCCCAGATCTCTTGATGGGTTTATGGAGTAGAGAATGTGTGTCTCTTGTACACTTAACCCTCGCCCCCCCTCCCCCCGCGCTTTTTTTTTTTTTTTTTTGCTTCAGCCATTGTTGCAGCAGGCCGCTTGATGCAGGTGTGACCTGACATCATTTCAGTTTATCAGGACGCCATCCTTTTTCTGTAGTGGAGACTTTCTTTTTCTGCTGCTGTCATAACTGTGGAAATCCACCAAATAACTTTGACACATTCACAACCCAGTAATTTTCAAGAGTGAGACTTGATTAATGACATGGGAAAGCTGGTGGATAAAATATCCTCTGCTTTTTCGTTTCAGGCTTAACCTGCCAAGGTGCACTCCCATGTTCTTAATGGTGACCTGAGGGGAATTGAAACAGAAATGAAGATGACTGAAATGGTCATTCAATTTAAACGTTAATGTTTACATATAATATGTGATTTTAAACATGATTTAATATCTCACAAGGTAGTTAGAAAGTACTGTTTACTGGTTCATTTGGTTGAAATCAAAGTCAACCCTCAAAGCTCTCTAATCTAAAATACGAAAATGAAACTGAATAAATAATCATGTGAAATTTACTGTCACAAATTATTTTAGCTTCGGTCAATTTATAAATTAGCGCTTCCCATACTGTATGCCATATCAGATACTGTTCCAAAGGCCTTAGATTGTTAGCAGCTTTATGTCTATCCCTTTCTCAGACTGCACACAGTGGAAGTGGATTTTTTGCAGCTCCTTGTGTAAAATTACCATACACTTCTGTCTCCTCTTCCCTAAATCCATGGGCATAAGGAAGCATACCTATACGATACCATAGATCTCATCTGATCCAGAGTTCAAAATTCAGAATTATTTGCATATTATTCTGCTTAATTGCTATTTTGATCTTCACCATTGGTTTCAGACTGCAGACTTGTAATTGCATTTCCCTGAACTCATAGGATACAATTGGATTAGCTCCATATGCCAGTACTTACTGATACTGTAATGTTTACTTCAGGACACTCTACTTGCACGTTCATCTTTCCCATTCATAGCCCCAAATTTTTCTAGATTGCTTTGATTCTGCATCTAAGATTATAAAAGATACATATTTTGCATATAGTTACTTTCACCAATGGTGAGAATCCCCAGTATGTCACTTAGGATTGAATGATGTACTTGTCAACTATTAGCTTAAATTAATTCATAGAAGTCATATATGGTTATCTTTCTGACTATTAGGCTGTCAATCTCATTGATGGAATGTTGAGAAAGAGAGGAAAGAAGGGAGGGTGCTGGCATAAAGGAGAGGGAGGTTAGAAAAGAAAGACAGGAGGAAGAGTTGTGGAGAAGCCAGGGTAAGAGGAGTAATGCAAGGTGGAATTCAGTTAAAAGTAGCAGAGAAAAGAACAAAGAATCTGTATGCAAAAGAGCTAAAATGCTGTTAGTGAATTTGACAAAGAGATACTTTTATTTTTACCCGAATATGATTTCGTGATGCTTAACAATTCTTTAGCTTAGATGTATTACTTTATAAAGAAATGTGAAGAATTTTTTTTTGTTAATCTTCACCCAAGGATATTTTTCCAATAATTTTTAGAGAGAATGGAAGGGAGGGAGGATAGGGGAGAGAGAGAAAGAGAGAGAGAGAGAAACATCAAGGTGAGAGAGACACATTGATGGGTTGCCTACCACACTCTCCCTAACTGGGCCTGGAATTGAACGTGCAACCCAGGTACATGCCCTTGAACGGAACTGAACCTGAGACCCTTCAGTGTGAAGGCTGATGGTCTAACTACTGAGCAACACTGACCAGGGTTGAAGTATTTTTTTTTTATTATAAACAAAGTGAAAAAACAACCCACTGAGGAAAAACATTACATATATAACAAAGGATTGCCAACTCTAACATAAAAATAAACTTTTAAAATCAATTTGGCACTATAAATAAAAGGACACAAACAGACTCTCACAGAAAATAAAATATAAACAGCTGAAATCATGGGAACATACATCTCTCCTCAGTAGGAATGAAAAAACTTTGAATTAGAACATTACTTAGATATTTTTGTCTTCAATATTAGCAAAACAATATTTGAAAAATACTCTTAGTGGGGATAAGAATTTTCCTGCACTGTTATAAATTTAAGCAAATTTTTTAAGGCAATTTTGTGATAGATATCAAGAGTCAAAATAATTTTATGTCATTTGTGTAATAATTCCTTATCTAGAAAAGTATTCTAAAGATGCCATAAGAAATATGAAGTTAGACTATTTATAGTGTTGCTAATCACAAATTTAATAGGCTTACATTTTTATAAGATGATGATGCTTAAATAAATAATATTTATAGAGAAATTATACAGCCAGTGATTTTCTTTGTAAAATAATATTTTATGGCATGAAGAATCCTATATAATAAAAGGGTAATATGCAAATTGATCCTAACAGCGGAATTACCAGAACGACTGCTCGACCAGTCACTATGAGGTGCAATGAACACCTCTCAATCCCTTCCTGGGCCAGCAGGCTCCCATCGCCTGATGGTGAATAGGGAACCAGGGGTGGGTGATGGTGGGGGGCGGGGCCGGCTTCTGGCAGCCAGAGAAGATAGCCCTGATCACAGGTCAGGACTAGGGACCATACCCGTGAACAAATTCGTGTGCTGAGCCTCTAGTATAAGATAATTTAAAGTAGAAAATAGGATAAGCTGTTTAAGTAGCGAGTTTCATATAAAGATTGTGTATGCGTGTGTGCATGCATGCACACATGCTCTATCTTATTTTGAGATGCCCCTTCCTTTATGTTATTCAAAATAATTACAATAAAAGAAATATCTTACAATTTTTCATATGGATCATTTCTGCAAACTCTCTTATCCTTGATAATAATAATGTAACCTTTAAAAAATTATGCGAACTAAAATTTAGATGAGAAAAGTAGGTTTGAACTACACAGCTCTGCTGATAATCAACAGCTGTTGGAAAAAACAAACAAACAAACCCTTGATTGTTCCTCTATGACATAGGGGGCAGGAAGGCACCCACATGAGAATTTGTACCCAAACCCCCATTCTGCTAATAGGGGTTGAGTGTTGGCCTACTTACTTAACCTCTCTATTTCTCTCAGTTACTTCATTACAAAATAGGAGATATCATTATATCTACTTTATAAGCTTTTTGTGAAAATTACAAGTGTTAGTACATTTAAAAGCAGGTAGAGTAGTGATTAACAATTACTAAGCACTAAGTAAATGTTATCATTGTTTTTTTTTTTTTTTTATGGAACGCTTCATGAATTTGTGTGTCATCCTTGCGCAGGTGCCATGCTAATCTTCTCTGTATCTTTCCAATTTTAGTATATGTGCTGCTGAAGCGAGCACCATTGTTTTTACATTATATTATAAAACACGATTGCTTTCTGAATAATTATACTAGTAAAACTTAATCACTGCCCCCACTCAAAATTACCTTTCTTTTTCTAATTATTCAAATTTAACAGGGAGCTCTGGGCTAGTGAAATTATTGAAATCTATTTGGGACAATTCATTGAAATTATTTCCAATAAGCCCAATATCCTTCTGACTTAAAGAATCCTTACAGATGATTTTTTTTAGGTGCAAAAATTTTCCCAAATAGAAAATACATCAAATAGTTTGACAAGTAGTTACATGAGCCTCACTAGTTCTTAAGTCATCTTTGCTTTCTAAAATCATTGTTCAGTAACAGACAACCAGCTAAATTAATATATACCTGTTGAAAAATATGTACTAATTAGTATAATACCAACAATACTGTGATTTTTATCCATTATTTTATTAAGGCTGTTATATAGCAAATCTATCTACCATCTAAACATACATACATACATACATACATACCTATAAAGTTATAGACTTGATTTAGAAGATCAATAAAAAATATCCCTACATAATATTGGCACATATGAAATTTATAAATGTATACATATATACACTGAGTGGCTAGATTATTATGACCGGCCAGATTATTATGACCACCCCATCAGTACTTCATTGATACTTCCAAAAATAATGAATATTGAAAACTTCCTAAGCAAATACTCTCAAGGTTTTATTATTATTATTATTATTATTATTTGCATAACTAATTCACTTCATTGTACTGATGGGGTGGTCATAATAATCTGGCCATTCTACAAATCCAGTATATATCATTGGAATTTTTGGTTCAATCAGATTAATGTCAAGCCTAATGCTTTCTTCCTTAACCTGAAGTTGGGGATGGTTTCTTTCATTGAACCAGTTGCTAAGCACATGCAGGATGGGTTGGAGGATCAGGTGCACAGGTTGTAGTCATGTGTCCTGGATAAGCATCCAAACGTGCATGCTTGACCAATGATGAGAGGCTATGGAAATACGTCTGCAGAGCAATACGTCTACCCTGGCCACTGTAGCTCTAATCAATGAAAGACATTTACTGTGTTACAAAATGCTATCAATTTGATGCTGCTCTGCTTCAGGCCCAACTGTTGTGGCAAAGAGCGTGAGGTTAAATCCCCCCAATCAGTAGCAACGCAGCATACTTCATACCAATACGGAGAAGTGCTATGGGCATTGGAATTTGGATCTGTGTTTTAATTTCAGGGCACAATGAAAGTATTTGGCAAAATGTCTGACACTACAGCTCAAGCCTATTTAGGGGGGAAAGTACTTACTTCATTTATTTTTCCTCTGCATGCTGCTGCTGCTCTCCAGTGTGGCATACTCTAGCAGCATGGGTTGATACAACCTTGCCAAAGCAGTTTATCGTCACTCTCCTTTGCCAATAAACCCAGCCAGATTCAGAAAAGAAAAAAAAAAGCGTTGCCATTTTTCTGTTTTTCGCTGCAAGAAGTATTCATGTTGTTTTTAAAAAAGATTTTTAAATGTATATTTAGCTAAAGGAAGGGGAAGGATGAAGGAGAGAGAGAGAGAGAGAGACAGAGAGAGAGAGAGAGAGAGAGAGAGAGATGAGGATGAAGCAAGCATAGGCTGCCTCTTCATGGCCCGCACTGGGATCACTCAGCAATGGAACCAGAAACCTTTCTGTGCATGGGCAACTCCCAACCAACTGACCAGGGCAGGTATTTTTTTATATTTTCCCATGAAACCTTACCAATTTAGAATCTAAATTTGTGAGGATGAAAAATAACTAATAACTAATAAAATAAAACTAACTTGTTTACACATATGAAAGCTATTATTATACCACACATGAAGCAAATTATTTTCAAAGATTTTCTTTCACTGAGGAAGTAGAACTATTATAGTTGCAGAAGTGATTTGGGGAAAGTAAAATTTATATCACAATCTAAAAAGTAGCTATCAACTAACTGGGCATTTAGGAAAAAACAATCTCTGAGCAACAAAACCGAAGACAGTGGCTCATATGTGATGGATTGAATGTCCTGGATTTTTTTTATTTTCAGCTGGTCACATGACAACTTTCAGCAGGTGCTGTGAAGTTGTGGACCATTTGTTTTACCCTTTTTGGTTTTTCAGAGCCGTTAGAAAACTGAGACGTTCCCTGTTGTCTGTTTATGTGTGAGTTTTGTTTTGTTTCATGGACCCAGGAGACCCCAGAAAGAGTGGTCTGTTTCCAGGTTATCTTCCTTCTGGGTGGAAATAATGGTAAGAGTTGTTGCTGACATGTGCCAGGGACTGTAATCAACAGTTATTTATATAGAATTTATTTAATTCTATTGCTTACATTACTATGAAGTAGATACTGCTATCTCCTCCTCTCTAAATACGGGGAAGGTGAGACACAGAGATGAAGCAATTTGCCAAATCTGACAAAGTTAGTGGCGGGAAGAATTCAAGCCCAGGGCACCTCGCTCCCCAGCCTGAGTGCTCTTACCTCCTGGCTGTTCTGAGAGGCGTGAGCATTGCCAGGACCTGGGGGCTCCATAGATAGCTCTGCCCTGGATGAAAAGGCATTCTGTTAGCAAAATGACAGCGGGCTTACAAAACATAGGCGTTTACAAGAGAGATGGGTGCAAAGGAGAAGAGAAACGGAAATGGTAGCAGGGAACACGTGGACAAATCTAGACATCATAAAAGCCAAGAGATGCGCGAGAGAGGAAAGTGGCTGGTAAGGAGCACCGGTGCTGTCTTGGCCTTGACCTTGAAGTAAAACATGAGCACAGGTGAGGGAGTTTTGCAAAAGTTTAATCTAAAATGTCCCGTGGGATTTCTAGTACTTCCGCTACTGTTGTCTTTATGGGAGTGTGGTTTCCTGAGGGCTTTTTACCTGTGTGATTAGATACATGTTCAGAGGGGAGGGTGCCGGAGAC